CTCATATAACTTGGCGCCGCAATTGGACTTTGTTATTACTGCAGTTGTGAAGATATTATTACACAATAAAAAAATAATTGGCCAACGCACGGGCTGCCGTGCGAAGATGCTTTTTTTGCGTAGTTCCCCGCAGTTTTTGTCGCTACCGGCGCCGGTTTTTTCGGCAAATGCTTCTAGCTAAACAAATTAAGACTGGCCGCCAGAACTAGCAGGAAAAATCCCCTTAAAATTTCAGCTTTCTAGCTTTTCCGGCTCCTGAGTTAGCAACTTACTGGAAGAAAATTTTCACGGACCCGCATGTGAGAACTACAAATACGGGGGCTGGGTTTGAGTACATTAAGACCTACTTGGACGTGGAACATCACCCAAAGATTTCAGCTTTCTAGCTTCTCAGATCCCCAAGTTAGGAACTTATCCGAAAAAAAATTTGGCAGGCTCTTACATGGTACTACGCAGGTAAAGGTGCCCAATTTGGGGATTGGAGGCCAGTACGTACACGTAGATTAAGTTCCCAAAGTTTCAGCCCTGCAGCTTTTATAGGTCTTGAGATGAAAAATCGGAACTGACGCACAAATAGACACACGAACACACAGACAACCCCTCGTCAATATGCGTTTTTGCATTGCATAGCTGCAAAAAATGCATAAAAATAAGGATGGGACCATGATTTAATGGACTAGAGGTGAGAAAGAAGAGAAGGCAAGCGAACTTTGCTCTTACTTGGAGAGGCCCTGCTTTCTTTACTTGGTAGCTATTTAGACTGCGTGATTTTTTTGTAATGAAGATTTCTTAGCTTTTTACTGTAATTGAGTATGCGTATTTTTCTTTGCTCAGGTACAAAGCTTAGGGTTTTTCCCTCAAAACGACTTTTGCAGCGTGTTAACTTCTAGATAAATTTGCAAGAAACAATATAAACAAACTTGAACATGCTTTGCCGGACGCGTGAAAAGCTATTGTTGAGTAGCTGGATGCGTAATCCGTGTTTGTTGAAAATTTGCGAAAATGCATTTTTTGCAATTTCTGTCAGCGAGGGATTGTTCGCTAAACGCACCAGTCTGAAATTAAAATGAGACAGTTTGGGGACCAAATGTTTTTCTTTTTCG